AGTTTTACTGGCAATTAGTGTTTTCTCTTTTTCTCACTCTCAATAGAGGTTTATTAATTTTGTTTTTTTCAAAGAACCAACTTTTTCCTTCAAAAAACCTGAGACATTTTGTGTTTATCCTACATCTGCTTTCTATTTCATTAGTTTTTATTTTTTCCTTCCTTCTACTTTTGTTGGGTTTAATTTGCTTTCATATTTTCTACCTTCTAGAGATAGTGGCATAGATCAATGATTTTCAAACACTCTTTCTAACATATACATTTATAGCTATAAATTTCCCCATATGTACTTTTTGGGGGCTTTTTTTTTTTTTGAGACAAGCTATCACTCTGTCGTCCAGGCTGGAATGCAGTAATATGACAATGGCTCACTGCAGCCTCAAACTCCTGGGCCTAAGTGATCCTCCAACTTCAGTCTCCTGAGTAGCAGGGACTACAGGCACATGCCACCATGCCCAGTTAATTAAAAAAAATTTTTTGGTAGAGGTGGAGTCTTGCTATATTGCCCAGGACAGTCTCAAACTCCAGGTCTCATGCCTGGCCTCAGTTGACCCTCTCTCCCTGGTCTCCCAAAGTGTTGGAATTACAGGCATGAGCCACTGCACCCAGCTCATATGTACTGTTTTATCTGCATCCCACAAGTTTTGCTATATTTTCATTATTGTTCAAAATATTTTCTAGTTTACATTGTGATTTCTTTTCTGTCTCATGGCTCATTCAGTATTACACTACTTAATTTCCAAACATTTGAAGATTTTAAAAGTTACTCTTCTGTTACTAATTTGTGGTTTAATTCTTCTGTAGTCAAAGAACATACTCTGTATGATTTCAATCCTTTTTAACTTGACACCTGATTTATAACCAGCATATGGTCTATTTTGGTAAATGTTTTATGTTTACTTGAGAAGACTATGCATTGTACAGTTGCTGGCTGTAGTTTCTACAAATGTAAGTTAGGTCAAGTTGGTTAATAATGTTATTCAAGTTTTCTGTCTTTACTATTCTACTTCCTTATTCAATCAGTAGCCTGGAGGTATGGTTAGGACCTCCAACTATGCTTCTGAATTTGTCTCTTTCTCCCTTTAGATTTTTTGTTTTATGTGTTTTGAAGATATGAATGGATTCATACAAATGTAGGGATGCTATGACTTCTTTTTCAATTACCCTTTTATCATTAAAAAGGTCTGTCATTATCTTTAGGAATACTTGTTGCCTTAAACGCTTGTTTGTCTGATACTAACATAGCCACACCAATTTCTTTTGGTTAGTGTTTGTAAGGTTTCTCTCTTCCAATTTTTTACTTTCAACTTTTTGTTTTTGGAGGCCTCATTGGAATCTCTTTACCAGCTTTATTTTAAAAATAATTCTCCAAGGTTTGGCAGGACTGATCTGGACACTTGCTGAAGGATGAACATTTTAAAATGTCATACTTTTTGCATTGGAGCCCATAATTACAGCATTTGCACAAGTTTTATTCTGGGGAGTGTAGGAGTAAGTAGGAGTGCCTTTCCTGTTCTTTTAATGGAAGGTCTTGCAACTCCAAATATAATCATGGACCACATAATGATGTTTTGGTCAACAACAGACTGTATATACAATGGAAGTCCTGTAGGACTATAGTACAGTATTTTTACTATACTTTTTCTATGCTCGCACATGTTTACACACATGTGTTACAACTGCCCTCAGTATTCAGTACAGTAATATGCTATACGGGTTTGTGGCCTAGGAGCAACAGGCTATACAATATAGCCTAGGTGCGTAGTAGGCTATACCATCTAGGTTTGTATAAACATACTCACATGACAACAAAATCCCCCAATGGTACATTTCTCAGAATGTATCCCCCCTCGTTAAGGGATGCATGACTGTACTGTCTTCATATGTTTCTGGGGACTCTGGGTAAAAACAGTCAAGAGTCCTTTAAAAAAAGAAAGATGCTTGATGGTGGAGAACAATCTTCTTGTCCCTATATATGCCTGGATGTAAAAACTACAGAATCTACAGACTGGCAAAGACTTTAGAGGTCTCATCTCATCCAAATCCCTGCTTGATGACAGACTGTCTCTTCCAGAATCTTACCTCTCGGGCTGGCAATGTAACACTTTCCATATTTCAACAGTGTGCTTGTGAGAAAGTTCATTCTTTTACTGCATTAAAATCATCTTCATTATAGCATCCAGGCAATATTCCTAGTTCTGTTTTCTGGGGTCCACAATGAAAGTGAGATTTCTCTTCCACATAGCACCCTTAAGAGACTTGAAAACATTTCTATCTTCTCCAAGTAAATATCTCTTGTTACTCCTTCAATCGTTCCCCATATTATATCACTTTCAGATCTTCCACCAGTTTGGATGCCCTTCTTCTAGCAGATTTCAGTTTGCTGTACTCAGACGCAGTCCCAGTGTCCTGAGGGTAGTGTAACTCATGCAGAGCAGAGCAGGACTACAGTCTCCCTTCTTAAATTCACTCCATCTCTATTAATTTACTCTATTCATTTATTCTACTTCTATCGATTCACTCTACTTCTAACTCAGCCTGAGAAATCACAACATTTTTTTTTTTTTTTTGAGACAGTTTGCTCTGTGACTCAGGCTGGAATGCAGTGGTGCGATCACAACTCACTGAAACAACCTCCTGAACTCAACAGACTCTCCCACATTGTCTCCTGAGTAGCTGGGACTAACAGGTATGCCCCACTATGCCCAGGTAATTTATATGTATATTTTTTGTAGAGACAGGATCTCACTTTGTTGCTCAGGCTAATCTCGAACTCCTGGCCTCAAGTGATCTACCTGCCTTGGCCTCTCAAAGTGTTGGGATTACAGGCATGAGCCACTGCAACCAGCCACATTTTTTGGTGATCAAAATGCATTCTCAACTAAAAATCCTTCGGGTTTTTCACCCTGAATGTGAGCTTCAGGTTAGATTTTGGCTAACGGTACTATAAGTTACTATATCTTTTCTCCACAACTGATTACCTGGTTTTATCACCTGTTTAGCAAATGGTGACAATAATTCTTGTACCATTATTCTTACTGGGGGAATGAAATAATAGATGTGAAAAGTGCTCCATTAACCATAAAGGGCATTAAACATGTTGGATATCCCTATTTAGCTATAAAACCAGGAATCTTTGACTCTCTTAACCATGTCTGACCGCTTTAAGGTGGTAATCCACATGGACTAAAACCAAATCTGTGAAAAATCAGTCTTTCTACAGAGGTCCCTAAAAGTTGCTCTGGACCAGATTTCCTGCCATTTTCTCGAATGCCTTGGTTTACCAAGAATCTCTTTTCTATTCCTAGGTAACATGCTCCATCCATTTGCAGAGATATCATCAATCCCGTCTGATAGCCTGTCTCCTGAACATGTGATTTCAAGTGGCAGGCTGTGCTCGGAACTTCTCAGTCATACTCTAACTTAGGAGGCCTCAAGTTAGAATCAACACGGCCCTCCAAATTTAAACAGAATACCACTGAAGACTACTGTCAGTCCGTCCTGGGGTGGGGAAAAGGTCTCTTTCTCAACATGAGGTTTCCTCTGAAGGAGGTGGTGACGTGCTGAGGTCCCTGAGAACAGGCTGTGTATGGGTTTTGGGGAGCTCTTCCAACCCATGCCCTTTCTAGTACACCATGCTGTCATCTTACTACACCCTGGAGGGCAACCAAGAGGCAGGAAGGGAACAGAAAACTTGTCATAATAAAAGCAATCACTTAGGGAACACCTACTATGATTCAGGAAGCACGCCAGGTAATGGACCTTGTGTCAAAGACATGGAAGTACTGCCCTCGCAAGCCCCAGCCATCAGATGTTCTAAAAACTTGAGATGTTTTTGATTGTCATCAAAATTGGAGCCAAAGGTTCTATATATCCTGCAATGTGTGGCACAGTGTGTCACTAAAAGACAGATCTAGAATTAGTGAATTGGAATGACAGGGGGGCAGCTTTGTGAAGGTTTCTAGAAAGACACATATACCATTATACTATTAAGGCTCATCAACAAGAGAAAAAGGATGCCTCTGGAGGTACGAGGAATTCAAGGTTAGAAAGACTACCTTTTATCAGGGGTCCTGGGGTAGAGATGTCTCTGTTAGCCATGAGCATCTGAAACTTAATAAGGCTATTTTGGTTAAAGCAAAAACCCAATCAACAGGCAACACACAAAAAAAAGAACCCAGAGTTTCTGTTCTCTCTCTTCCGATTGCTGATTCTTTCCAAGACAGCAGCTAACCTGCTGCTCAACTTAGCTGAAGCTTGACCCACAAAGGCTGCCACAATATAGAGTTTTTCATAAATGCTATAATCACAGATCTGTTAACTTCACTGCTATAAACGCCATTGTCTATCTCTAAGAAGAGAGTTGGAGGGAGAGCACCAAACTAACCAAAGTCCCTGTGGTTAAGTCACACAGCCTGTTTCTCCATGCCCCTATTTTAGTCCATGACACATCAGAGTATTTTGTCATGATTATGTGTGTACTATTCATGACACAGGTGGACATGGTTGTTCCCTCGTACTTACACAGGTACTTGCCAGGTACACTTATAAATTATCATATCTGATTTGCCTAGGTTGTACTATTAGGGAGAGAAATGACCCCATCTTGATATTTGTTCTAAAGTAAGACTTAAAAGGTTGATGAACCAAAAACCTTAATAGCCACCTTACATATGAGTAAGATGAACACATTTGTGCAATATATTTTTTCAAAGCTTCCCACATCTATTATTTATTTCAATCTGACAATAACAGTGAAATAGGGTGTGGATTACTGTCTCCATATGACATAGGTAAAAAGTGAAATCCAGAAAACAGTTTGCTTAAGGTGTCATACCTTGAAGGATGAGGATACAGAGTCAAAATCTGAGACCAGGCCCTCTGATTCCGAATACTGACCTTTTTGTTCTAACATCTTTGAATGATATGCGTGTGTAAGGGGTGGGTGGTGAGGAGGTGGTGCACAGGCTCATGGGTATAATCTGCAATTCCAGCACTGACCTGCTGATCCTGTAGCTTGACTCCAACGACTCTGAAGGTGTTGCTGGCAGTGTTGTGGTAGATGTTGATCCGGCTGAATCCCTGCTGGCCAGGCTTGATTGGTACCCATTTCTTACTGGTGTCATCGTAGACCATCACGGAAGCCCGAGCTTGGCAGATACTCTGTTCACTAGAGAGCAAGAAAAAACTGGTGTCAGCCTCAGCTACAGGTGATGGAAGTTGACTTTGCCCTTTTCTGAAACAGGCCAATTGCTACTTGAGATAAAGAAACTTTCCAATTGCCAGAACTTCCAACTGTCTATGGAAGAACTGCCTTGTGAGGTGATGAGTTTACATTCTCTAAGGAGCCTGCAGAGGGGAGAGGAGATTCTGTGCCAAAACTTTCAATAGCTTGGAAAAGATTCACAGCCTTGTTTCCAGGGGAAAAGTTGCCTGGATGAGAATGGAATTACAATTACAATTTGCCAACTGTTCACGATATTCCATGTACTGTATTAAATAAGAGAATGTGGCCAGGCATGGTGACTCATGCCTGTAATCCCAACATTTTGGGAGGCTAAGGCGGGTGGATCACTTGAGGTCAGGAGTTCGAGACCAGCCTGACCAACATGGTGAGACACCCCCCCGCCTTGTCTCTACTAAAAATACAGTGGCATATGCCTGTAATCCCAGCTACTCAGGAGGCTGAGACACAAGAATTGCTTGAATCCAGGAGGCAGAGGTTGCAGTGAGCCGGCACTGCACCACTGTACACGAGCCTGGGCGACAGAGCGAGACTCTGTTTAAAAAAAAAAAAAAAAAAAAGCGCATGAGAGAGAATGCATTGCAGCACCTAAGCTTCACAATTTATGAAGCAGCTATTTATTACCTCCATTTTTTTGATGAGAAAAAAGTGGCTCAGAGGCTTGAAAAGATGTATCTGAGTTCACACAGTGATTAAACTGGGGATTTCCAACCACTTCTGACTGACTCTAGAGCATATGATATAGACAATATTCTTTCCAACATCCAACAATATGCTCCATTTATGGAATTAGGCGAGGGCAGCATCAAGACAAGCTATGCAGGCAATGAGGTATTTAGGTGAGCTAAGAAAAGAGCAACATAAATCAAAATAAATAGGTGGCTACTTCCATACTTTGCTGAAAACATTTACGTAGCAAAGCAACCTCATTTGTTCAAAATATGACAGAGAAGCAGGGAAGAGGCCCCTGGAAGGATAAAATAGCCATCACTAAAATTAATACACTAAAACCCCTGCACAGTATCCAGAGGAAGTATCTCAGAACCCACTGGTTCTTCATAAGCCCTAATCATCTTTAACATCATTTCCAGCCTATTAGAATTTCTGCATTTAAAAAAAGCAATACTCATTTGTTCCTAATTAATTAATTAATTAATTAAAGAGATGGGGTTTCACCATATTGGGCAGGCTGGTCTCGAACTCCTGACCCCAGGTGATCTGCCAGCTCAGCCTCCCAAAGTGCTGGGATTACAGGCGTGAGCCACCACGCCCGGTCTCTATCTCTCTTTTTTTTTTTTTTTAAAGAGAGAATTGTGCTTGCTGAAGGTAGACACACTGGCCACAGTGAGGCGTGGTCATCGGCAAGCATAGCTGCATAAAGACGAGGGACTGGAAGCAGAACTGTAATGCTCAACAATTTGGGAGCAATCATATAGAAGGAAAGTGTGTACAATGGTGGATGATTATAATGCTGAGACCAAGCAGTTGAGAAAAAGTTCTATTATGTTCACTTCACCATACTTAAGAAGATCTATATCCCCAGCCCTGCGGTTATGAGATGAAAAAAACAGTGTTTTTTAAGTTTTCAAATAGCTTTATTGTTTTTTTCCATTTGCTAAAATGTAACATGCTTGCTTTTCTAATTATTCTTCTATTCTTAACAGTGGTTTTTATAGGATTAGTTCTCTGTGACTTGGAAACCTCAACTTGGCCAGCGTAGTCAGTTCCTCAGTGTTCCACAGGGCTGAGTTCCCTCAGGGCCCAGCTCCCCTACTGCTTGGAGACTGTGGATGATCCAGTGTATGGATTATTATTATACTTTTAAACAACATTTTTGTGTACAGTGCCATATATAAGGCCCTTCCCTACATATTCCCTCAATTTCACTTTGAATGAACCCTATGCACATCTTACAGCTTGAGTGCCAGTGCCGAGTCTCAGGCCTGATCCAAATGCCTGCACTGTTGGGTCTCAACCTTGCCGCTGACTACTCAGGTCTGTCTCTGGTGTTTAGGAGCCTAGGGCACACCTGACCTCAGCTGTCCCAGCCTTGCGTTGAGGGCTCTGGGCACATCTGTGGACAGATGTATTCAGAGTGAATAGTAAGGGTTTTGATCTGCAGTTTGTGCTGCATCATTCTTCCCTATAATTCATCATTCATTCCACAATATTTAAGAGGGCAGAAGTTATCATCTCTGTGTTTTGGGGCCTGAAACAACATATCTTTTAAGAGAATGTGCTTAGGTAAAGCTGCTCCTCCCCTAGTTAAGTCTTCATGAAGTCTAGTAGAAATTAGAGTAAACTAGCTGGGTACAGTGGCTCACACCTGTAATCACAGCACTTACAGGAGGCTGAGGTAGGAGGATCACTTGAGCCTAGGAGTTTGAGATGAGCCTGAGCCACATAGTGAGACCTTGTCTCTACAAAAAAACAACAAAAACATTAGCCAGGTGTGGTGATGGGCGCCTACAGTTCCAGCTACTTGGGAGGCTGAGGTGGGAGGACACTTGAGTCAGGAGGTTGAGGCTGCAGTGAGCCATGATTGTGCCACTGCACTCCAGGCTGGGTGATAGTGTAAGACCCTGTAGAAAGAAAAGAAAGAAAAGAAGGAAGGAAGGAAGGAAGGAAGGAAGGAAGGAAGGAAGGAAGGACGGACGGACGGACGGACGGACGGACAGACGGACAGGAAAGACAGGCAAGGAAAGGCAAAGAAGGAAGGAAGGAAAGAAAAAAAAGGAATAAATAAATAAATAATAAATAAATAAATAAATTAGACTAAACTGTACACAGAACCAGATAGACTTTGGGTCAAATCATAGTTCCACCCCAATGTAAATGAGCCATACATCACGTTATGGGCTAAGTTCTGGCACTTACTGCTTCTGGTACACTCAGTTGCTAAATGTGACAGTCAACAAGTAGGTGTGTGTTCTGGATGCTGTCTTAAGAGCTAGGACAGATCCTGAGATGCAGCATGGTCTTGGTTAACAAAACATGGATTTTATTAAATCAGAGGGATCTGAGTTGGAGCCCAACTCTACCGTTTGCTGGAAGATGACCACAGAGCCCTGAGATGATTCTGGGGGTGCACTCTGGGGAGCTGCTGTGTGAGGGGCAATGCTCTCTAGAGTCCCTGTGTGGCAGCCATGGAAGAATGCCCTTCAGCTGCCCTGCAGGAGAACCTGCTATGGAAGCAGAGCTGGTGCACAGAGGCCATTCTGCTCTGAGGCTGCTCCCAGCCACTGACTGAACATGGCAGGGGTACCAGTGCCAGCCCGTTCCTTCCCAACACAGAATTCATCTGTGGGGGAAGCCTTGGCTTGGGAATGCCCTATCAGCCTGGTCCAGATGTTCTCAGCATTGTGATGTGGTCTGAGATGCTTCTAGTCCATCCTTTCTGGCCTTTCTCCTTTCGTAGACTTTTGACCTCTGTTAGAACCTGGCACGGAGAATGTGCCTAATAAATGCTCATGGAATAATCTCAGAGCTGAAAAGAACTGTAGACACTAATCCACTTTAGTGTCCAATAAAGCTGCCCTGAGAAGTCCACACTGAGCTTTGGGTGACAGGGAACTTATTACTCTCCAAAGCAAACCACTGGTTATAAATGGTTTTAATTTAGACAATCCCTCCTTGCTCTGAGTGACATGCCACAAGGTGCTCTGCAGAGCCTGTGAGAACCCATCGGACAGCTGAAGGAAGAGCGTGTCCCTCCATTAGCCACATGACAAAGCTACCAGTCCCCTTGCGATCCCATCAGTCTGGGGCCTAAAACTGGGCACAATATTTAAAGCTTAGTCTGACCAGTAGACGCTAGTGAGTAAAGAAACACTAATGACAGTGAGATGGGTGGAAAAGTACCTGCCCTCAGCAAGCTCCAAGCTAGTCTGGCAGTCAGACGAGTAATTATAAATCTTACCCAGCCTGGAAGGATTAGGGAGGGTGGCAGGGAAGGCTTTTTCAAAATTTTTACTTATTTATTATTTTGAGACAGAGTCTCACTCTGTCGCCCAGGCCAGAGTGCAGTGGCACAATCTCAGCTCACTACAAACTCTGCCTCCCAGGTTCAAATGATTCTCGTGCTTCAGCCTCCCATGAAGCTGGGACTACAGGCACATGCCACCATGCCTGGCTTATTTTTGTAATTCTAGTAGAGACATGATTTTATCATGTTGGCCAGGCTGGTCTTGAACTCCTGGCCTCAAGCTATCTGTCTGCCTCAGACTCCCAAAGTGCTGGCATTATAGGTGAAAGCCACTGCACCAGGCCTGGGGAGGCTTTCTGAAGAGAACGCTGAGTGGGTTTTAAGATGAAGACTTTCAACGCCTAGGTGAATTCAGGAAGGGGACGTAGGATTCTAAGCAGAGACAGGTGGCTGAGCAGAGGTAGGGAGGCAAGAATGGCACGGCATGCAGAAAACCACGAGCACTAGGTGGGGGTGAAGCACACCTAGGGTAACACACACATCTTTTAGGGGAGCTACTGAGATGGCATAAGTAAAGCACTATGCTTGCCACTAGATACTTCAATACCAATAACCATTTTTCTTCTTGTAATTATACTCACAGTATCCTTTTTTTTTTTTTTTGCTGTTGTTAATACTTTAGGTTCAAATTAAACTTGTGGTTAACCAAAACCCCTGGTTTTCCCCCACCTTTTGAATAGTGCTGGTTTGTCTCTTATTTTATTGCTACTAACAAAACCTAAATGCAAGACACTACACATTTCTTCTACTTAAGATTTGTTTTGCTAATTTGGGTTTATACATCTTTGAAATTTTTTTGTTTTAATAAAATCTTGATTGCCATCTAACCTCGACATTGCCTCTGAGCAATATATATATATATTCACTTGCCTTCTCAACATCTTCACTTGGATAAATACTCAAACTCTGTATTATACACATACTCCCTAGGCATCACAAA